TACGCCTATTGTACTCACTCCTTGCAAGAAATTCGAATTAAAATTTAGACAGAAATTGAATACATATACTTACCTACTCAAGCCTATTTGGACCTACGCTTTACAGATATATGGGACAGCCAAAAAGACTCACATACGTAAATTACAGACTTTTCAATCTAAAACTTTCAGGACTATCACCAAAGCTCCCTGGTACGTCAGTAACATTACTCTACCTAAAGACTTACAGATGCCAACAGTTAACGACCACATACGAACATACTACAAACGATTTCATAATAACTTACACGGACATACAAACTCATTGATTCGAGGCATGGCCACAACTAACATGCCCGACAGCACCCGAAGGAGGCTTAAAAGAAGCTGGATGAGGGATCTCCTCCACTAACTAGAAATATTACGCTCAAGACAGGAAGGACACAGCTGGGTACTCCTCTCCCTCACGCCTATTCCAAGACCAATTTCTTCATCTTGACATCACACTCACTGATTGTCGGAACTTCTGACAGGTGTGAGTTGAGGAATCAAGTCCAAAAAAAAAAAAAAAAAAAAAAAAAAATTGGAGGAGGGGCTTCAGCACGAAAGATTTATATATATATATATATATATATATATATATATATATATATATATATATATATAGATATATATAACGATAATTAACTTGAAAAAAACCACTGCAAATTATTTGTCTTTGGTATATTATTTCCAAACAATTATACATATAAAGTAACATTAAATTCCTAGTTATAAATAAAAATAAATAAAAGGTGATTCTAATTATTGGACTAAAATTTTTTTTAATCATTAGTAATATGCTAAAAAAAAATAGCATTACTTCAGTAACACATTCAGAAATAAAAAAAAAAGATAAACCTTTTGCAATAGCACATCTAAAAAAAACTAGAGACCATATCTTTGCTCCTAATTGTCCGATTTTGACGATATTTTTTTTGTTTTTTAGGACTAAATTCCGTAAACTTGTAAAAAACCATATACAATATTGACATAAATGTGTATACTTCTTGAGTTATTCGGAATTTGATTTTACCATCCCTCGTAACTTTTTTTGAGCTTCTTTTCGTTGAAGTATGTAGTACAGATAAATTTAGAGGGCGTAGAGAAAATGACTTTAGCGAAGTTTCATCAAAATCGGTACATTCGTTTAGGCGCTACAGTCTATAGCAACGCAGGTTTTTCGGCCGCCATTTTGAAACTAGACCGCGAATAGTAATGTCGTTGAAGGAGG